GGACGTTACATGTTATAGTAGGTAGTTATCCTCATCCTAACCTGTATTTTTTTTTTTAAATATATTTTATTGATTTTTACAGAGAGGAAGAGAGAGAGATAGAGAGTCAGAAACATCGATGAGAGAGAAACATCGATCAGCTGCCTCCTGCACATCTCCCACTGGGGATGTGCCCGCAACCCAGGTACATGCCCTTGACCGGAATCGAACCTGGGACCTTTCAGTCCACAGGCCGACGCTCTATCCACTGAGCCAAACCGGTTTCGGCATAACCTTGTATTTTTGCAGGTGAACAAATGAAACCCAAGTTAAGTGACTTGTCAGAGCACATGGGGGCAGAAGCAGGCTTTGAGCCCGGGCGGTCTGACTTCGAGTCCTGGCCTCGTAACCACACCCCAGATTCCTGCTCTGCTGTTCAGTGTCCTAGTGGTGAAGAGCGAGGGCTGGGAGAGGGGAGATGTGGGTTAAGCTTCCTCTCTACCTCTTAGTGCCCACAGGGTGAAAGGGAATCTGTTGCAGAGGTCGGAGTGGCTCACCCCATCCGAGAAACTGGGTTTGGGGGAGGAGAGGAGCCGGGGAAGTCCCGGAGGTGTCGGCATCAGGACCCCTGGGTCGTCTCTGTAGGGTCTGCCACTGGGGTGGCCGGACTCCACTCATCTTCCGCCCACGCCTCTGCTCACGGTTTAGGCTCCTTCAGAATAGAATCTGATTGGACTAGTGTAAGTCATGTGCCACCCTCTTGGCCAGTGAAGTGAGACAGGCACCCTGATTGGCACTCCCTGTGGACCATCCCAGGAAATGAGGGGGGTAGTTTCCCCATGGAAACCTTGGATGCCATTTTCAAAAGAAAGGGAGTTGGATTCCAGGCCAGCAAAACAGCACAGCAAAAGCAGGGGCGGAGCTAAAACCAGTGTATGACGTGTAGTAAACACTCAAAAATAGCAGCTGTCATTACTGCTCGGACTGATAAAAGCTCTCGTTTGCCTGCGTTTCAGGAACTCTTACCCAGAATGAGATGGTTTTCAAGCGGCTCCATCTGGGCACAGTGGCCTACGGCCTCGACTCCATGGACGAAGTGCAGAGCCACATCTTCAGCATCTACACCCAGGTAACGCTTTCCCTTTCCTTCTTTTTAAAAAAATATAATTTTTATTTATTTCAGAGAGGAAGGGAGAGGGAGAGAGAGATAGAAACATCAATGATGAGAGAAAATCATTGGTCGGCTGCCTCCTGCAGGCCCCCTATTGGGGATTGAGCAGTAACCCAGGCACATGCCCTTGACCGGAATCGAACCCAGGACTCTTCAGTCCGCAGGCCGACGGTCTATCCTCTGAGCCAAACCAGCGTTGCTTTACCTTCCGATTCCCCAATCGGTTCTTTACGTGGATGAACACCTATATTGAGATGTAACTTTTAATGCCGAGTGACTCACCCTGTCCTGTCCAGCTCCCTCTCGGGGACTGAGACTTCCATCCGGAGGGTTCACTGTGTGGATTGTCACGCTTGCTGGTGCCGGGCTGAGCACCCCTTGGCCCCTTCTCAGCCATGCGGGCCTGTTGATGACTGTATGAGCCAACCTCATGGTCATGGTGTGTCCCCCCGGCCCGTTTTGGGTACTTTAAGAGCCCATGGAACTTACAGAAGCCATGCCTTCTCAGTTATTTGTGCAGTTCAGCTTTTATGGTCCGTTTTTGGTTTAGTACAGGTAACACTCTTTGTAAAGTGTTAAAAGTCAGAAAACAACATTTCTGACCTTGCACTTTAACTCCTAACCCTTCCTTAGGAGAAGCTCAAAAATGGATTTGTCCATTTGGGTTTAAAATAGCTAAGTGTTGAAGGGTTAGGTCATCTCGAGGTTGGTGTGAGCTCGGAATTATAGTACCTACCCCCAACCCCCTCCCCCGCCCTCTCTCCCCCCCTGCCAATGTGCATGTTCGTCCTTCTCTCGTGACATCTAAAAATCCTACACTAATCGCATGAATACTTTTGTGGTGAGAGGTATGAAGGCTTTCCTGTGTTTTCTTTTTCACAGCTTTATTGAGGCATACCTTGCATGCCATAAAACTCAGCTCTATGTTAATTTGCAATACGATTCTTTTTTAGTCAGTTACTGAGTTATGGACCCATGAGCACCGGAGAAAGATTCCCTGGAGCCCATGCCATCATTCCCCTGACCTTTAGAGTTATGACTAGGACTTTGTAACAGTGTTTTGTAAAGCACGGTATTTGGAACGCCGGGGTCAGATCACGTGGGACAGTCAGAATCTCTAGACCCAGTCTCAGCAGGTGGACCAGGTGGTTCCAAAGTGCAGCAGTTTGAGAACCTGTGCCATGAACTCGAGCACATATATATATATGCCTGAAACCTCTTGCATTCTTTAGGGGTGGGGGGCCCAAACATCTCTATTTTTTAAAATTATTAAAATGTTTACTGGTTATTTTGAGAAGCATTTCTGGTTAAGAACCACTGTTAGAATAACACTACCCAACTTCCTGTTTTCACTCCTGTCAATGAGTCTCATAATTTTAATGGTTTTACAATAGGGCCAGGACAACGAGGGTAAGAAGAGTGGGGTATGCACCTTGAGAGCAAAGCTTAATGGGCTGAACCCCCCTCCCCCCAAGCCGCAGTAATCAAAATTCATGGGAAAACCCACGATGAACAGTACTGACATTTTAAATGGACGGGACCCCGCCTGTGCAGTTAGGTGTCTGCTACTCCCTGGCCCTGGCTTCCTAGTGTCAACGGCCTAATGTGGTTTTCAGCTGCGGGAATGCACATTGCGCTGGATGAGGCTGTGTTGTGAGGGCCGTCCTGTGTTTCGTTCTAGGATTTTAGCAGCGTCTCTGCCCTCTACCATCAGGTTGTCTGTAGTACACGTTCCCTCCTCTGCCCCCGGTGGTGACAACCCCAATATCCCTAGAGATTGCCAGATGGTAGCCCAAAGCACCCCAGTTGAGGACCTCTGTGCTATCCGGGGTTCGAGGTCACGGAATTGAAATGTGCTGCCTTGGCCGCGCTCTAAGATGTCTGCAGCTCAACAGTGAACGCTGTACTTACTCACCACCAGCCTGTAACTCCGTGGGCTCATTTGGAAGTAGCAGCCCCGAGCCTGCCTCTGTGGGGGTGCCCCTTGGAGGCTGATGCGTGACCAGCTTTGGGCTTTACTTAGGGAGTGAAGTGGGACAATCGAAACAGGAGTTCCTTCTCCTCAATCGTGTGATTTTACCTATTGCAACCCATCCACACTGCCCGTTAACATTACGAACGTCCATGAGGTGGTGGTGAAGTTTTAATTGCATTTAGAAGGAACGCTTATGTCCACGGTGGCTCAGTATTTAATTTTTGTGCTGCTGTTTCCTGTCACACAAACTGGAGTTCTCGTTGGGAAAGGCCCCGCCGTGGGTCAGTAATGAGAAGCAGGGGCCTGTTTCTCACGGATCCTCGTGTCTCATTGAGGGCGGGACGCCGTAGGGTGACTCGGAAGCATTGGATGGTGCGAGGACCCCACCCCAGGGCCCACGTCCGGGGCCTCTGCACATGGAGGTCTTGATTCCTCTCCCAACTCCTGACCTCGTGGGAGCGGCGTTGGCCTCTCTCTCCCCTCCCTGAGAGGACCAGTGGCTCCCCCAGGGCAGCAAGACTGGGAACCTGCCTCTGTGTCCACATCTGTTTTGATTTTCCCCTGGTATTTTTTAAGTAAGAAGAAATGGGTGTAGGTTAAAGGGCCTGTGGGCAGGAGACTAGAGAGAAACACTGTACAATGTGAAACTCTTCCATATGGGGAATGTGAGGATGTTTGAAGACGGGGCCCAGTACTAACACTGGCAGAGCCCCCGGTAATTACCAGGGTCTAAGGATACACGTGGATCACCATTTGGTGTGCGAACGAGCCTTTTACTTGAAAATTAAGAGAATTTCAGAACCAGTGGTTTTGACCCCTCCTCCCTGAAGCACCGTAGTCGTAGGGAAGGGGATACGTGCTGATGTCAGAGAGAAATCAATGAGCGTGGAGACTTAAACCAGCCGCCTGCTGGTGGGGGCCCGGCACCCTCATCTTCTGATTTGCTGTCAAATGGTCCCCTGTCCTGAAAGTGGGGTCCTTGCGGAGACCGGGGCTGCCTGGCTTGTCCCCCATTGGGATGTCAGTGGGAGAATTTGTCTTCTGGGGGAGACGTGAAACCAGGTTGGTTACAGAATCCTAAGGGTTGTGGCGGTCCTTCATGCGGCCTTTCCTTCTAACCCACTGTTGCTGAAACCTGCCAGCCGAAGCAATTGCTCTGTCAGAGGTCTCGCTCTTGCCCCTCGCGCTCAATCATAATTTGGTCCAGGTGCTGAGGAACATGGGCAACCGCGAGGACGTGCGTCCGTGCCTGGGACAGACATCACAGGATGCAGGGAACCGCGTTCCTGGCGGAGTCTGTCCCACGGAGAGCCGTTCTGTAAACCCACGGGCCTCGGTGTCATGTTGGAGTTAAAGTCTTTCTCGTCAAAAGCACTCGGCAAATAATGATTCATTTAAACTGCAGTTCTGATTCATTACTCTAATTATCGTTACCATGCAGTGCCCTCTGGCCTGGAAGTGAAACTCGTGTCCTCTTGACACCAGAGGTTAACAGAGCAGGAAGCCAGGGCGGTGTGCGCGCCTGCATGACAAGAATAATTTAGTAATTGTCTAATTACCCGAGGAGTCCAAAGCCGCTGCTAAAAATAGTATTAAAAAATTAAACGAAAGTCATTTTCTTGTTTCGTGTAGCCCATCTGTTCTCTATTTTGGGCATGTGTTCACAGGCATAAAACACATTTCACTCTCAGAGACCAGCTTGCTTCTCCTCTGTTGGGCAAAATATGTTTCTAATGGAATGTAGCTTCCAGTATGTCCGCCAGCATCTCAGGCTCCCGGACGCAGCCGTGAAGGCAGGAAGACTACGATAGGTCCATTGTCCAAAACTGTGGTTTAAAATCTGGACCTGATGTGGGTCCATTTGACATTTATTTCTTCTTGGAGATGGAAAAAAAAAATTCATGTCAAGGCAGGACCCCTACCATCACCTTAGGAGCAGTAAATCGTTCATTTGTTCAGCAAGCATCTCCTGCTTTAGATACTAGGGATGCAGCAGACAGCTGTCCTCATGGTCGGCCAGGAGAATCATCAGGTCAACAGCCAGTTGTAGACAGTGAGGACCATAAGCCCCCGGGAAGCATGACTTCCAGTGGGAGGGCAGGCGGGGTAATAGGATTTAGGGCAGTGGTCTGTCCAACCGGTGGTCCGCAGACCACTGGTGGTCCATGAGGTCCGAAAGGTTGGCGACCGCTGAGTTAGGGGGCTCAGAGAAGCCCTCGTTGAGGAGGTAACATTTGAACTTAGACCTCCATGATGAGATGGAGTGAGCCGGCCCTGTAGAGATCCAGGAAATGGTATTCTAGGCAGAGGGTACAGCAAGTGCACAGGCCCTGTGGCAGGAAGCAGCGTGTCAGTGTTCAAAGAACGGAAGAGGTCAGCGTGGCCGGAGCAGAGTGAATAGGAGGTTGCAGAGCTGGGCAGGGGCTAATCAGACGGGCCCTGTGGGCCCTGGGAGGGCATCTGAGACATAAACTGTTAACAAGTGATCATTGCCTGGTGGTCTTAATTTTTTAAATTACATTTCAAGGCAATAGAAACCCTTTTTCCAGGGAAGGTCTTCATGGCACCTGATGTGTAATTCCAACAGATAGGAATGGGCTGCTTGCCTTCCACTTTGGGGATGCTGAGCGGGTGGCTTGGGATTCCTGCTACTCGGGTGTGGACCCCACTCCCCTACCCCACTCCCCTTATTTGCAGGAAGCTGAGGCCCAGAGGGCAGATGTGGCTGGCTTGAAGTCGCACAGCTTTTCACAACCCATCCAAGAATAAAGTTCAGGGTTGTTAACCTTTAATACTGTTTTTACCATGTTGCTTGAAGCCACTTTCCCCAAGACTTACCCCATGCAGGAGGCTCAGCCATGTGTCGAAAGGTATGAACAAGAGGGTGGAATAACTGCTTCCACAAGTTAAGGTCTGAAGTCAGCGTAGAAAGCAAAAATTGAGCACACATAAAATTAGTCTCTTTTTAAAGAACGTATTTATTTATTTATCTTTAAATTGCTCTTGGAAACCTACCTTAAGTGAAGTGCTAGGTACCAGGTGTTCAGTACGCTCATCTAGGAGTGTCATTCCTGTTACTGGCCCAGGCCCTGCCCCGAGTTACATGTCACTGATGGTCGTTACGCCTGTAGAGCACCAGTCGCCACTGCTATCTTTTACATGAACCCAAAGAGTGTACATTAAAAACAGTGGTTCTGAACCAGGGACGGGCTTGGTCTCCCTGGGCCTTTGGCAGCATCCGTTGAGACCGCTAGGAGAGAAAGGTGCTTCTGGGATCTAGGAGGTGAGGCTGGAGGTGCAGCTGAACATCCCACAGGCACGGGATTGTCCCAACCACAGACAGCGTTTGCCCCAAATGCCAGCAGTGCCGCGGTGGAGAAGCCCTGGTCTGAGCACCAGGACCGCTGGCAGCATGGTGGGACCTCACTCTGTTGGAGGCTCCCGACACCCCCAAAGGAAGACAGGTTCACATGTTAGCAGGCAGAATCACCCCCAGTCACTAGATTACTATTTTTCCTATTTATTTTGTGTGGTTTTTGTTGCTGTGCTGAGCGTCAATGACTGGATCCCTGAAAACCACACGCCATTTATTGCAGCGTCGCCGTGGATAGCCTGGGAGTTACCGTTAGCCGGTAATAAGGAACACAGACTCCGCGAGGCTGTTCTTCCACATGTTGGAGACCTTCTGTGCCTGTGGTCACCTTCCTTGTCGTTCCCTCCTCACAGCAATCCCAGGACCCGCCTGCTCAGAAGGGCCCCACCATCACCACCAAAGTCCGGCGGACCATGAGCAGCCGCGTGCACGAGGCCGTGAAGGCCATCGCGCTCTGCCACAACGTGACCCCCGTGTACGAGTCCAACGGCGTGACCGACCAGGCCGAGGCCGAGAAGCAGTATGAAGACTCGTGCCGTGTGTACCAGGCGTCCAGCCCGGACGAGGTAAACCGTGGGCAGGTGTGGCTCCCATGGATCCAGCTATCAGGGCAGGCAGGAGCCAGGGAGGGGCAGGGCAGCGAGGCAGGTACCATATTTTTCCATGTATAAGATGCTATTTTTTCTAAAATCATTAGACTGAAAATCAAGGGGCATCTTATACATGGAAATCAGCCGAGGAGGGAGGCCCACGCGTGTGCGTAGCTGCCCGTATCTTGTCAAACAGGCTTCCTTCAATCACGAGCCTTATTGTTACTGACATCAGCTTCTTGGAGGTGGAGGTGGAGAGTGTGCAGATGCAGCAGGGACCTTAGCGTTCTGAGCCCATAAAGATGTCAAAAAATAAAAAGATAAATACTGGTAAGCGATTGTCTTACTCTGCAAAATTCAAACCGAATGTAGTCAGCTATGCAAAGAGCATGGAAGTAGAGCTGCAGAGAGACAATTTGGACCTCCTTCCACTGAGTATATGATCAGACAGTGGAGAAAACAGGAAGAACAACTCCTTAAGATGCCAAATAAAGAGGAAGGCCTTAAGAGGAAAACCAGCAAAATGTTTAAAATACTGATTTCTTAATTTTGGGTTGGAAAAGTGGGGAGTGTCTTATACATGGGGGCGTCATACGTGGAAAATACAGTACCTTTCACGTGCGCGCAGGACTTGATCTTCCCTAGGGGTAGTCACGGACTTGAGATGTGTCTTGAGTTAGGAAGGAGCAGGAGGTCTTATTTGTAATTCAGGTGGCTAGCCCAAAAGGGAGACAAGATCCCATTGAATCTGCATCCCCTTGAAAAACACAACCACCAAAAAACAGCTTTATTAAGATAAAATTCACATACCCTATAGCCACCCATTAACATGTAGCGGTCAGTGATTTTTTTAGTGTATTCACAGAGTTACACAACCATGACCACAATAAACTTTGGAACATTTTCATCACCCCAAAGGAAGTACTCCATGCCATTGTCCCTGTAGACTTCCCCGGCCCCCAGCCCTGGCAACCACTAACCTACTTCCTGTCTGTGCAGAATTGCCCTTTCTGGGCATTTCATACAAATGGAAACATACATTATGTAACCTTTTGTGTCTGGTTCTTTCCCTTAACATACGTTTTCAAGATTCATTCGTGTTGTAGCCTGTCAGGACTTCATAACTTTTATGGATGAATAATACTCCATTGTATGGATAACACTACATTTTGTTTATCCATTCATTGGTTGATGGATATTTAGATTGCATTTTGTGTGTTTGTTTGTTTACTATTATGGATAATGCTGCTATGAACATTTGTGTACACGTTTTTTGTTTTTTTAAGAAAGATTTTTAAATTGATTTTTAGAGGGAGAAGCAGGGAGAGGGAGAGAGAAACATGGATGTGAGAGCGTAACATCGATCGGCATGCCTCCTGCACGCTCCCTACTAGGGATTGAGCCTGCAACCCGAACATGTACACTGACCGGGAATAGAACTGGCGACCCCTAGGTACACGGGATGACACCCAACCAACTGAACCGCTCAGGCCAGGGCTGTGTACAAGTTTTTGAGTGGACATATGTTTCTCTTGGTGTATGTCTAGGAATGGATTGCTGGGGCACATGGTAACTCTATGTTTAACCTTCTGAGGAGCTGCACCATTTTACATTCCCATCAGCAGGGTGTGAGGGTTCCCGTTTCTCCACATCTTAGCCATCACTTGTTGTCGTCGGTCCTTTTGGCCATCCGAGTGAGTGTGAAGTGGAATCTCATTGTGGTTTTGACTTGCGTATCCCTGATGGCTAATAATATTGGGCATCTTTCCATGTGCTTACTGGTTATTGGTGCATCTTCTTTGGAGAAATGTCTGTCCATATCCTTTGCCCACTACTAATTGTGTTATGTGTCTTTTTACTGTTGAGTTGTAAAAATTCTTTATACATCTCATATAAGTCTTTTATCGGATTTGTAAATATTTTCTCCCATTCTGAAGGCTTTAAAAAAAATTATACACACACACACACACACACACACACATATATATACACATGTATGTATCTATATACTTATACGTGTGTGTGTGTGTGTGTGTGTGTGTGCGTATTTATTTCAGAGAGGAAGGGAGAGGGATAGAGAGATAGAAACATCAATGATGAGAGAGAATCACTGATCGACTGCCTCCTGCACATCCCCTACTGGGGATTGAGCCTGCAACCCAGGCATGTGCCCTTGACCAGAATCGAGTCTGGGACCCCTCAGTCCACAGGCTGACACTCTATCCACTGAGCCAAACCAACTAGGGCTGAAGACTTTTTCTTGATGGTGTCCTTTGAAACACAAAAGTTCTAATTTTTAAGAAAATATGTATTTTATTGATTTCAGAGAGGAAGAGGGAGAGAGAGATAGAACATCAATAGTGAGAGAGAATCATGATCAGCTGCCTCTGCATGCCCTTACTGGGGCTCGAGCCCACAACCTGGGCATGTGCCCTGACCGGAAATTGAACCGTGACCTCCTTCCTGGTTCATAGGACAATGCTCAACCACTGAGCCACACCGGCCAAAAGTCTCTAATTTGATGAAGTCCAATAAGCCACACATTTTAAAGTTGCTGTTCATATCTAAGCATATTCTTTTGCTAAGCCCAAAAGGGATTCATTTGATTCCATGTTCAAGAGTGGAACATGGAATCATGTTCCCCTTTAATGTTTTCTGTAACAGGACCCAATTGCTTTCCCTTTTAGGGTGTCGTATGATAGGAGCCCCCTCTGTGTATGTTTAGGCAGAGGACTTGCCCAGCATAAAACAGTAGCATCATACCCTTTGTCCCCCTCCCCTGAGTGTAATTCACACACAGGCCCGTGTTTTCCCAATCTGTTAGCATTTTGGTCTTTTCTCCTTCCAGTTTTTTTACTTCTTTTCTTAAAGAAAACTTGTGTTCTGACTATTAAAGCAATGTTTTTTAGTGTAGAAAATTTGGAAATTTCAGAAGACCGTAAAGAAGAAAGTGGGTCAGTTGCAACCCCAGCCGTCCAGGAGAACAACAGGAACTTTCCTGGGACATGTGGTTGGCATCGGGTCCCGTTTGAAGTATGTTCCATGTATGATCTCATTTTTTTTTTGTTCATCCTCACCTGAGGGTATTTTTTCTATTGCTTTTTAGAGAGAGTGGAAGGGAGGGAGGGGGAGAGAGATAGAGAGAGAAACATCAATGTGAGAGAGACACATTGATTGGTTGCCTCCCACAGGCTCCCTGACCAGGGGTGGGGAGCAAACCCACAAACCAGGTATGTGTTCTTGACCAGGAATCGAACCCACAACCCTTCGGTCTGAGGGCAGATGCTCTAACCACCTAACCAGCCTGGGCTCAACCATTTTTTTTTTCCAGAAGCCACTAAGAACATTTTGATAGATAGCCTTCCAGTATCTTATATATTTTTTCTTTTTTCTTCTTTTTTTAGTTTATCTTTATTGTTGAAAGTATTACAGATGTCTCTTTTGTTTTTTTGTTTTTTTTCCCATTGACTCCCTCCTCCCGGCACCCACCCCTCCCAAGCTATCACTACACTGTTGTCCATGGCTACGCATATATGTATATAAGTTCCCCAGTTAATTCCCCCCCCCCGCCTTCCTCTGAAATTTGTCAGTCCAAGGTCTATGTCTCTGATCTATTTTGTCATCAGTTTATTTGTCCATAAGATTTCACGTGTGAGGGAGAGCATGTGATACTTATCTTTCTCTGACCTCCCAGTGGCTTATATATGTTTTTTCTTAAAACAATGGGAATTTTAATAAGCTGTGGTTTTGTATCCTCCTTTTTCACTTAATATTTTATCATGCCTGTTTTCGGTTCTCCTGAATATTATTAAAAAAACAGTTCTTCAGCATTATGCCCTATGTTCTCATAGGACTGGAACTCAGGTTATTTATAATTTTTGGCAACCATATTTATAAACATTGCAGTGAGCATTGTTACACCCAGTGTTTCTAGAAATGGGGAGGTTGGGTTCATATTTGAGTGCCTGCGATGGGCTAGGTCCGTGGTTGGCAAACCGCGGCTCGCGAGCCACATGCGGCTCTTTGGCCCCTTCAGTGTGGCTCTTCCACAAAAACCACGTGCAGGCACCCACATACAGTGCGATTGAAACTTCGTGGCCCATGCGCAGAAGTCGGTATTTTGTGGAAGAGCCGATATTTTGTGGAAGAGCCACACTGAAGGGGCCAAAGAGCCTCATGTGGCTCGCGAGCTGCGGTTTGCCGAGCCGCAGTTTGCCGACCACTGGGCTAGGTGATGTCAGCGTGGGACAGGACTGCAGCCAGGCCCCAAGGAGGCAGCAGGAGTGAGGCAGTTGAGCACCCAAGTCTTGGGACTCAGACCAGCCACGTATCCTCGTCCTGCCTCCGTGTGTCTGTGACATGGGCCCACGAGGCGGGGGGGTGGTGGGGCCCTTGGCAGGCAGCCGGTAAGTCCTGTGGGTCAGGTTGGATGAGTATTTTCAGGTCCGTGATGTAAATGACCAGGAACAGACATTTAAACCGTTTTGCTCTCCCACCAACGTTACCAGGACTCCCACCGGTTGTTTTGTTCACTGTAAGGAGCAGGGGCTTCCCTGGTAGAGGACGTGTTTAACGGTGCGGACTAGCCTCCGAATGTCAGCGAGCCCTGGTTGGTGGCAGCTGGGAACAGCACAGAGAGAGCCTTTCCCAAAGCTCAGACGTGGAAGGGCTTCTCGATGGGCCTTTCCCTCTTGTTACTTCTTTCTCTTTCTCTGGGCAAAGGAGTGCGTCCCCAGGAGACTCCTCCTTCCAGCCTGCGTGGTGGTTGCAGAACAGCTGTGAGGCTCAACAAATGACGCCTGAACCAGGCTTCCTAAGGGTGAACAACGTCGCCCATGGCCAAATTCCGAGATGGGATTGTGTGCTGAACGAGAGAAGAGGAGGGAGAGGAGGGATGGCTGGTGCTGCCGACCTACTGGGACCCGGGCCCTGGTAACCAACACTGCAGGTTGTCCTCGTTGCCTCACCAGGCTTAG